AATGAAAGATAGCTCTACTAAATGTTTGGAACTTTTCGCTATGAAGAAAGCAACGGACCAACAGCAGAGGAATGTGCTTCTGTGCTCATTAATAATGTATTTTTACGTTAGTCTTTCCAAGCAAAATCATTAGCGATAACGGCACACAATTATGTATATTATTATGTTTTATGCTAAACATTCCGTTCTATATTGTACCATGCTTCAGGGAATATGGTTGAACGCAAGCGTCAGGGTTTAAAACCCAGACTAGCAATTCTAGTGGGGGATAATCATACCACTTGCACTTTGGGCATAGAAAACTACCAACAATTCGGTTCCCAACTCTCCCATGAATACTGTGAATTGTGAAAATGAGAATTTCATACCATAGATAACCTCTTATTTGATGAAGATGTCTATTGAATGGTTTAGTATAAAGCTCGAGATATCAATGAAAAGCGACAGGTTTATCAAAAGAATTATAGGTACGAGGTACGTTGATGAAGATCGAAAAGCTGTAGGACCCATTAAAATCGGTGACCACGTTTGTTTAGAAAACTCCCAAGTTCAACCCCAAAAGAGATGGAGATGGAGCTTACCAAATAGCGAAAAAAGTTTCTTCAGTAAGCTATATGAAGTATGAAGTTGCGGATATACAAGAAGTAAGAACCAGCATTTCCCTTAGGGAAGGCGTGTCAGATTTATCGAGTGTACAGGGTGGCCCCTAATTCCGAGCCTCATCAGTCATCATTGGGATCTTGGAAACCGTAAGAGATGCGGTCGATTAACTTATGGTAAAGTTGTGCATTTTGATGCTTAACAAAATGCCGTTTAAAAAATTTGAGAAATTCCAAATACTCTCGGAAATAACCGTAAAACGCGAGAAAAAAGCTCTGGTTCTTTTTTTTTCCTGGCCTTATTTTAAGAGATCGAGAAAAAACAAGAAGAGTTTCGTGGCAGAACCGGCCCTACCATAAGGCGAACGAGCGAGCGCTCCAGGCGCCAGACCTCAGGAGGCGCCTCCTAAGGCGCCTCTGACTCGTTCCTTGGTGATGAGAAAAAATAGAAATATGATGTCAATGAGAAATATATACTTTTGCTTTGAATCCTGTCTTCGCTTTTCGATATTCAGCTATTCTGCTTGCCAGCAAACGTGTGATTAGTATGTGAATCCCATGTGAATAACTTGTGAAGTTCTTTTGAGACGTGCAAGCGTCGCGGGCGTCGCGTCGCCTCTACACGGTTATAATGATATTTTGGGATCAGATCTTTCAGGAGAAATATATTCGAAGAAGTGTTTAGACAGTGATAAAGGTCATCCAAAAGCAGTCCTTCAGACCTTGGTATTGAATAATTCACAAGATACGTTCCCTGATAATATCTGGACAGCTCGCCGTATTTTTGTAACCATTCCTGTACAGTGGTCGAGGGTGAACAGAGTATTACTGAGCTTGAGTTAATTATAAAACGTTATAAAACGTACCTACCTAAGGTCAACTCTAGTCCTGACCTAGTCCTGCTCGAGGAGATCATAAACAAAGGACCCTGCCCAAAGTATACGGAAATTGTGTTTATGTTAGAATTGGCTGAATTTTGTATTGTATAATGTAGATCATCCATTTCTGATTAAAAGTTACCATTGCATCAATCTTCAAAAATTACTCCACGTAGCACATCACTGCGCCACAAGCTTATCTACCTATTCGTGCTACATTGAACGTCCATTACAATGTCCAAGCGTTCTACTTGCTACTAGGGCATCCAATACCGGGATACCGAAAATTCGGTATCCCAGGATCCCGGAGTTTTTAGCCCGGTATTCCGATCCCGGTATTCTCTTTTCAATACCGGAATTTTCGGTATTTTCGGGATCAATGTTTGAATTTAATAATACCGGTATTATCGATATTTTCGGTATTATCGATATTTTCGGGGTTGTTTCGTCTGCTTCGCAGACACGGAGAGCAACGAGTCGCAGTGGCGTTCGCCAGCCGGCGTTCGCCAGCCGGAGTGCGCATGGCGCCACTCGCCAGGCATGTGGCGACAAGTTGATTTGAAAAACAATTATTATAAGGGTTTTAGGGTAGTGTACATTTAACTATTGTTTCGTATGCGTATTACATTTACCTATTATTTCGTATGCAGTCAGTGTGGAATTTGAAAACTAAAAGTATCTAAGGTAGGTTCTATTTCTTAATGTGACGTTAGCTTAGCTGCATGATGTGTTGAACTTATAGAAAAAACAACATGGAAAAAGTCGCGGACAAGACTGACAACAGCACATTTCGTGATTTTCGTGTAAACGAGAAAAAGGCCCATTGTTCGAAGTCAGTGTGGAACTATTTCTTAAAACAAACGCTGAAGCGGCTCTATGCAAAGAGTGTAAAGCTATTTTAAAAACCAAAGGTGGATCTACCAGAGGTTTGCATGTCCACTTGGCTAGTAAGCATCAGATTAGACTTCAAGATATCAATAAACCATCAACTTCAACTCAACAAGGAAAACGGGCTTTGGAACGAACTGATGAATCAATCGCAAGTCCTACTCCTAATAAACAACAAAAGTTGACAGATTTTTTTCTTTCAAAAAAAGATGCATCGCTTGAAGCTGTGCTGGCCCGAATGACGGCAAAAGATGGTATTCCGTTTCGAGTTTTTGTAACATCTGAAGATTTGCGGGATGCTCTGAAGGCAAAAGGCTTAACTGTGCCTACCTCGGCGACTACCATACGCAATAAGGTTTTTCAATACTGCGAAAAAGTGAAGAATTTTATTCGTTCACAAATAGCAACAGCTAAAACTGAGGGTAGGCGTTTTTCTCTTACATTTGATGAGTGGACCACGGTCTCTAACAAACGCTATATGAACATAAATCTTCACAGTCAGAAGGGCATATTCTGGAATTTGGGACTGCCACGTATTTTTGGATCAATGCCTGCCGATGCCTGCGTCAAACTGGTCGAGGCTCGCTTGAAGCTGTATGATTTGTCCTTACAAAATGACATTGTTTGCATAACTACAGATGGGGCTAGCGTAATGACAAAAGTTGGCAAACTGATCAGTCCATTTCAACAATTATGCTTTGCGCATGGTATTCAGCTAGCTGTAATAGATGTTTTATATAAGAAGAAGCTTGAACAACCTGAAATGGAAGAGCAAAGTGAAGTTGACGTTGACATCTCGGATGATGACGATTGCGGGGATGGTGACGGTGACTTGATCTTTGAAGAATGAAATGAAGAAACTGAATGTGATTTGACGGAAAATTATAACCTTGGTGATTATATCAAAGAGGTTCGAAGACTGGTTAAATTATTTAGACTATCACCAACAAAAAACAGTATTCTTCAAAAATATGTCAAAGAAATGTATAGCAAAGAACTCATGCTCATCTTAGATTGTCGGACTAGATGGAGCAGTTTATATAATATGCTTAAGCGTTTCATTTATATGAAAGACTGTGTGAAAAAGTCTTTGATAGATCTAAACTGCACCACAACACTCTCGGACAGTTCCTACAATTTTATCGATGACGTCGTCAGAGTTTTGGAACCGGTGAAATTGGCAGTGGATGCTCTCTGTCAGAGAGATGCCAATCTTATTACAGCAGATGTCACAATAATGTTCACTTTGAAGCAACTTTCTCATGTTGAAACAGATTTAAGCAAAGAGATCCAAATTGCATTGAAACAGCGCATTCAGCAACGTCGGACTATTTTGTCTGGTGTTCTGTCCTATCTCCACAATCTTCAAGATCAGCATGATTATCCAGATTTTTTTTCTTTGCCTGGTAGAGATGCAGTCAAAAACACTATTAAAAAGCTGATTGAGAGACTTAGGGCCGATACTTTTGCTCTCGATTAACGAATCTGATACGTTGTCAAAGTTTTGCATGGGCCAATGTCTATAAGTATGATGTGGTTGGAGCACATTCTAAGCCCTGATTATTTTTAACGGCTGTCAAATAAGAGCAAAAGTACCGGCACTTAGTGGTTCTATTTCTATCACTATTGTGGAGGATGAAGATGAAGACGACATACCGCTTGCACAACTGCAAGAGAAAAACATCACCGGTACTGATATACATGTAAGTACTCCGGCACAGGAATCAGAGTCGCCCCTTGCAGTAGCTCTTCAAAAAACTATCGCCGAAAAGATGAGTGCGTTTCGACCTAAAGTTCAAGAGGATCCATCAGATTTAGAAACAACCCTAGATGAGGAAGTTCAGTTATTTGAGAAACAAGGTATCCGAGGACAAAATCTACAGCTCTCTTATGAGTATTTACTATCTATTCCCCCAACAAGTGTTGAGTCCGAGCGTGCATTTTCTGCTACCGGTATATTATTCTCGAAGATTCGGTCAAGCCTTAATGATAGGTCGATTGACGGACTTTTATTTCTAAGGTCATATTTTAATACAAATGAAAAATAAAACATTGTCCCTGTATACTCATATTTTCACTACAAACGTATTTGTATTAATGTAATAATAAATATAATGTAAGGAATAATTTAATAAAAGATTAAATTTGTTAATTCTCGTATAAATCCCGGTATTGAATACCGAAAATCGTGGTATTGAATATCGGAAATCCCGGTATTGAATACCGGGATACCGATTTTTTTTTTTCGGTACTGGAATCCCGGGATTGGAATTTTAATTCGGTATTGGATGCCCTACTTGCTACCTATGAAATTAATTTTCTCAAAAAGTAGTCATTTTTCAGGATTGGTGCAATGGTAACTTTTAATCAGAAAGGCGTTTTCTACATTATATACAAAATTTAACCAATTCTTTTGGTCGTCATTTGTCAGAAAAAAAAATATATTTATGAGACCCTTCGCCAATTTATCAGGATTGTTTAGTAGGCAAAGGAGCTGTGGCAAAAGCCCGGATTTTGTGACAAAGCAAAGAATCCATTCAATAATCAGGCGGAACGGCGCCACCTATCTGCGTTTATATGAGATGAATAGGAAGCATTTTGCCAAAGAATATTTTGCGTTTTACAACTAAACGGTTTTACCACTCGGAGATCCCAGCTGACGAGGCCTAAATAACTCCCTCTCTCTTTCATCATAAATAAATAAACAAGAAAATGAGGTTAAGGTCGGGGTGGTTGTGACTAAGTGGCGGTGACAGTGTCAGAAGAAAGATACCTAATTTCCTTTTTTTTTTTTGATACATGGTATTCAAATATACATAATACATTTATCAAGAGAGCTTGTTCTTTAGACATCTGATAGCTCCTGTTAATCAGGTGGTTAATCTAAATAATTGATTGGATAAAACTTGAAACATTATGTCTGAGACTCGGTCTGAGACTAGTGTAGCCACTGGTAAGTACTTTTCAATCCAGTATGTATGATGTATGAGCTAGGTGCTACTAACTGCCCTGCACAAAAATGATTTAATACTTGGCTCTAGAAGATGTAGGTAGGTATTGGGTCTATATGCTATATGGACTGGAGGGTCCTACCCTCGGACCTACCGACATTTAGGGCCGGTTTCTCAATAGCAAGTCACCCCCGGGTTAGGCATAATTCCAGGGTAAACATAGCAACTGGACAGGCATACCCTGGGGTTAAAACCAACCTGGAGGTGACTCGCTATTGAGAAACTGGCCCTTATATGACCATTAAACCAATCAAGTGATGTTTTTAATTATTTAATTCCAGAAAGATAATTACTAATTTTATTTTACTTCACTACAATATTCAAAATAAAAATTTAACCAATACATAGTTTTTATGTTACAAAATGCAAATGAAATTACTTAGGGTGCAACAATATACCATTAACTCTGACTGCAATAAATTAACTACCTGGATTAGACCCTATTGTATAGGCCTCAACCTCTTCAAAGCTCAATAAATGGAATCAGGGTGGGCTTAAAAATGTACCTAAATACCACCACTTGATTTATTTTCATAATTTAAAATAATTTATATTTAAATTACCTAATTATATACCTATCTTATTTATATTTATTACCTGTCTGGGTACCTATATTGTTTTCGAAAAATTTGAGTCAACTAAAATTTACATAGATACCTACTCTAGATATTTAGAAATCATAGATATCAACCTATAATTCACACCAATTGCACATATTTGAGATGAACTTTATTTATAGTGGAAGTAAATTATATGTATATACCTACTTAGGTATTCCTAATAACTTAGAATCAAGATTTACTATATGCCCCTTTACCTATTAGGACATTTTTAAAAATTTTATATGATTAAATAGACTCTGGATAAGAGTTTGCAAGCAAAATTATTTGGCGCAAGCGTTTCAACTAATGACCTAATAATTATTCCAGATTCCAGAAAACTCATAATGCTTTTTCATACGAATCAAGCTAGAGAGAACCTGCAACTTAAGCTGCAATATAATGAAGAAAAATTAAAACAGGAAAATTCAATAGTTTTTTGGTATAATGCTTGAGGATGTTCTTTCGTGGGAGGAGCATTGTACTGTACTGTAGTTGTATGAAGTTGCGTAGTTACTGCTATCTATTAAAAACCTTGAAACCTCGCTTAAACCTATTTCGACAGAAAATTTGGATCATGCGGCTTACCATGCTCTTATTCAATCACAGCTAATGTATGGCACTCAATTCTGGAGTAGCTCGTCTCAAGCCCAAGAGGTATTTTTCGAGGTATTTTTGTACCAGAAGCGAGTACCTAATACATTGTTTGACGGGAATTCCACAAGCAGCGTCTTGCAAGCCATATTTTTTTCAAGTAATTATTAACCTTACCCCCTATAGTAGGTACTTAATTTATCAATGCTGTACCTATATACGTGTACCAAAATCATTGTTTAATTTTTAGAAATAATCCGGCCGTAAAGGACGGTCGAGTTTGATCGCATTGGTTTCTACGCCAGGCACTATATGCGGTGTGCTTTTTAGCAACCGCTTTGACACACTGCTTGTTAAACCATGGGTCCGGCACGGGATGTTTAAATAAAGTGAGGATTGTAGACTTCCATACCTAAGAAAATTATTTCGGTATCCGATTGTGCAGCGTCGGAGGAATGTTTGGATCTAAAGTAAACATCGGACCCCGGAAAGGTCGAGAAAAAGAATTTCAGACCATCCCAGTCTGCAGCTCCATAATGCCACATATTGGAGCAGGGACTGAGGGTACAACAAACTAGCGGAATTTGTGGTCTGGGCCCAGATTCCGAACCCACGATTCGATAGTATCGTCTATCTATTTTATATGGACGATACTATCGAATCGTGGGTTCGGAATCCGGGCCCTCATTCGTCGAAAAGTGCAAACACATCGATCTTGTAAAGTTCGGGATTAGTGGTAAGGAACAAATCGAGTAAACTGACCTGTTCGGAAACGGAATCCGGGAAATGTGTGGGCCCTTTCTTGTACTTAAATGCTTCAGCAATCTTTCCAGCATGGGTTGTTTTGTTTGAGAACTTAAGCCACTCTGAGTTATGATTAATCAAATCTCTCAAAAATATAATCTCGGAGTTCAGAGTCCTGGCTAGAATCAAATGAATTTGCCAGATTTTCAAATAGAAGCACTGGAGTTGTTGAGTTCGTAAAAGTAAATTTTAGCCAACTCACATCGTGATCAGGTGATTCGAGATCATTCTCTCTGTGGCAATAGAGCTCAGTAGATAGTCAAAGCGGGTTTCACTATCAAAATCCGACCATAACCTCAATCTTTCATTCTTGACACGATGGTGGATGCGCCGCCGTTGACACGAAGGTGGATGCATCGTCGGCGCCATCTTGTCAAACGTCATGGCGCCATCTAGCGTACATAGTGTGAAGTTCGTAATACAGGATGCTGTAGTTGGGACCCGTAGGGCTCCGCCCCCCAAAAGGGGGCCCACAGGGCTGCGCCCCCCAAAAAGGGGCCCCCGGATTTTATTATGGGTACCAGAAAAAGGGGAGGGGGGGAAATGTTTTCCCGCCATCATGTCAACCGTCACCTGTCAAACGTCACCTGTCAAACGTCACCTGTCAAACGTCATCTGTCAAACGTCACCTGTCAAACGTCATCTGTCACATATGATGACGTCATACCGGGTTATTGCGGTGAATTCTTGCAATTACAGGTTCCTGTAATATGGAGTGTGCGTGGAAGGGATTGTTCCGAGTTGTTTCGAAATCGCTACGTATATTTAATTATGGTTCGGGGAATTACAGGTTCCTGTAATATGGAGTGTGCGTGGAAGGGATTGTTCCGAGTTGTTTCGAAATCGCTACGTATATGTATTTATGGTTCGGGGAATCACAGGTTCCTGTAATATGGAGTGTGCGTGGAAGGGATTGTTCCGAGTCGTTTCGGGTTCTGTGATGACGTCATAGCGCCCTGGGTCACGTCCGTGGAGTCATTTAGAGTACATAGTGCAAAGTTTGATTCAGGGTTCGCGTTCTGTGATGACGTCATAGCGACCTGGGTCACGTCCGTGGAGTCATTTAGACTACATAGTGCAAAGTTCGGGTTCTGTGATGACGTCATAGCGACCTGGGTCACGTCTGTGGCGCCATTTAGAGTACATAGTGCAAAGTTCGATTCATGGTTCGGGTTCTGTGATGACGTCATAGCGACCTGGGTCACGTCCTTGGCACCATCTAGAGTACATAGTGCAAAGTTCGATTCATGGTTCGACCTGGGTCTCGTGGGTTACGTCAGTTTGTGTCGGTGGCACCATCTAGCGTACATGTGACAAGTTCGATGTGTCTTATAACAGGATGCTGTGGTGGTGACGTAACTATGAGGGTCCAGCAGCTAGCTTCATGTTGTACCTGGTAGAGGGTGTTCGAACTCAAGGATGAAACACACCTACAGGATTGCTTATTGACCTCGTGTGTTACCATTTACGACGCCATAACTAAGCCATCAGCTGTTTAAACAACCTACGTCAAGCCGAGAAATAACATGCTGCTTACGTCACAACTGGTGATTTAACGTTGGGGAGAGAGTGGATTTGTTCCACACAGGCCTTATGAGGATAGGCTATCCTGTAGTAGTAGTGTGTATTATCCTTGGTTGGAACCAACATTTGATGGGGAAGGGGCCTCGTTTTTTTTTTATTAAAAACATACATTTTTTAAGACAACGATTTCAAAAAGCGAATATTTTCCATCAATAAACTGCTTAATGATCTAATCATTTTGGTGGTACGTCTTGGGAGAAACACTGCGTTGTCGTCAAATTCAACGAGTATTTCAAATCCATAGCTAAAAATATGCCACAATTGTATCGATTACCTAAGTATATAAGATATTTACTTACTAGGTTAAAATAATAATTGTTGCTCAATAATTTTATAATCCTCACTGTGACGAGAAAGAATACAACACTGTGGGCACCCCTGCTTTTAATTCGAACTTCGCTTGACATCTGTTGATCTACCTTAATTTGTATAGTTTACTGGTTCCAGTAAAGATTTGCAATTATTTTGAGGTCTGTATCGTAGAAAATATTGGGTACACTCACTTTCTACGAGGACTTATAATTTTCTCAGCGTTTTTGATCCTTTGTTATAAAAAGACAGGTCTTGTTGATTGATTTCAAATCCATATCTAAAATATTCATAATTGTATCGATATTAGTAAGTATATAAGATATTCACTTACTTGGTTAAAATGATAATTGTTGTGCAATAATTTTATAGTTCACCGAGTTTCAAACAAGACTAAAAGAGCTTAGTTATTATAAAATCCGATTTAAACTTCGAAGTAATCACATACAAAAAACACTGCCAAAATATTGGGAATTTCACTCTATATCAGGCTTCAGGTCTTGTAATTTTCTCAGTGTTTTTAATCCTTTGCTATAAAAAAACAGGTCTTGTTGTTGATTGATATTAGTATATAAGATATTTACTTACTTGGTTAAAATGATAATTGTTGTGCAATAATTTTATATTTTTCACTGGTGACGAGTTTGAGCAAACTGAAAGAAGCTTGTTATTATAAAATCCGATTTAAACTTTGATATCACATACAAAAGCACCGTCAAATGTAAACGCTTATTCGGCAGTTTTTTTATCTGAATTATATCAGGACCGTTCGCAGAAATCGCCCGAGAAAAACAACAACACATTTTAAAGATAATTTTTTAGTTTAAGGCGTAATTATTAAGTTAGATATTTGATATGTCCATTTTTATTTTAAAAAAGGTGACAAATTCAATCGATTTATCAAAATTTAAAAGAATAGATTTAAATTAGCATCGTTGACATTTTATGAGCCAATAACCCTATGCAATACAAAATTTAAGTGGATACATTGTTACCTGTAAAAGATGAGGATTCAATTTTTATTCTTTGTACAAAAAACGCAGCATCCAGTA